CCGGGACTGCGCTCGGGAAGGACCTGGAAACGCGCCTGGAGCACGAGGCACGGAGGCGCGGGGGCACTGATGTCATTGCTGGGAAGCAGCGCTGTTCTATAGGATAGGTAGTGCTCCGGCGCTTAATGGCTTTCCTCCTGCCCTGTCTTGAGTAAAATATGGAACGCGTCTGGAATAGAGAGATTTCAGTGCCGTGATGAGAAGGTTTGTTAGGTCAGTGAGGCTGTTTAACGAGGAAGTGTGTCTTGCTTGTTTTCTGATAACTACCTTGCTTTTGGTTTCTTGTCTTGAAAGCCACATCACACAACGCTAGCAGGTTTCTGAGCTGTGGCTTTGGCAGCAAAGAAAACTTGTTCAGCAGCTAGCCAAAATATTTCCCAAAGAGAGTAGCAGTTGAGAATGCTTATCTGCCATCATTTTTGAGCCGGAACAGTCCCTGTGACTGCTGTAACGCCGCTTTGGTAGTAAATATCGTTATCGCCATTGACCGGACTTCAGTCTCGCTGAGCCCATGAGGTGCCACTCGCAAAGGGCAGCGAGCAGTTCAGATATCCAGCCCTCGTGAGCCAGTGCAGCAAGCACAGTGATTTACAGTGCTCCTGCCTTTTAGGGCTGCTGAAGTGTAGTTGGACTGGTGTCATAGTGGGAGTTACTTGTTTGATACAGTTATGGCTTAAATGAAGAACTGTGTTATGGTTTGCTTTCAAATCAGCTTTTGCGATTTTAATGTGGTGCCACAGTTAATACTTTTGGCCATTGCAGTAGTCTTCCTCTGCTTAATTGGCAGTTCAAAACATCATTTGGTGCACCATCTTTGTCGCTTTCTGGCATGTGAGATGTGTTAGGTTTCTGCAACAGAGGCAACAGATTAGTTTGTTTTACCACAGATTTTTTTTTTTGTTTTTTTTTAAATTTTATTTACCGATAGTCAGGACTTTGTACCAGTGTCTAGTAGCTTGGTAGCTGGGTGTTTCTGCATAACTTTATACTACAATGTTGGGGGAAGATCTTGTGGTGCAGATAAAGACCCCTTTCTTTCTAGAGTGTGGGGTTTGGGTTGTGGGTAAGGGGAGAAGAATAAGAGAGAAAGATAATATATGAGCTGAAGTCTTCAGATATTTTAGCTCATTTGCAGCCTTTTAATCATCTGAGTTAACACTGGTTATGGTAAGGTCGTGATCACAGGAGACTGAAAGATTATTATGGGTGGGGCAGATGTGAAAACTTGTTTGGTGATGCCTTGACTTCAGGACAGCAGAATTTTTTTCCCCACATGAACACCTCACCATACCTCACATAGTGTTTCAGTTTTCTCTTTAGATTGAGCAGCAAGCACTAAGCTGAATGTTCCATGTGTCAGCATTGAGCATTTTGTAATCAATTTCCTCACTACCATCACATATACATATGGAATTAAGAAAACATTTAGGTAGCATATGGTACAAGCAGGGAAAGGGGGCTGTGGGAAATGGAAGTACCTCCCCTAAACCGAGCTGCTGCTTTTTGAAAGCCTGAGTAAGATGGTGCTCGTCTGTTGTGGAGCACGATGAGTCAGTTGGGTTGTGTGCCAAAGCCAGCAGAGCTGCTCCTGCTCTCTGAGATCTGGAGCACCCGTACATTGTTTCATCACTGAAACACAGACACATCACAGAACACTTTCCTCTAGATTTAAGGTTAGAATCAGACATGTGTAGTGAATAAGTAATGAAGTGTTTGAGAATTGCAGAAGGGAAAATTAGTTTTTCAAACTAGTGTGATGACATTTCAGAGTCGCTGACGTATAATCCACATGTTTCTATTGTGCAACTCTAGTCCAAAGAGGAATTTCAAACCTTACTACCCATGCAGAGATAGTTGAGAAACTTGATAATAAATTCCAGCCAGTGAGAAATCTGGTGCAGAATTGGGTTTTTTTCGGGTTTGGCATTATTGGGTGTTTGCAACTGAGACCAGCATAACTTGGTTTTCACAAAATCTAACTGCTTTAATGTTGAGCAACTTTAGAAATATTGTTTTACCAAGTGCTGTCCTTGACACAGTGTTTGCTTGATAGCTGCTTGGAGTGTATGGACAGAGTCTCTAAGGATCTGAATTAGCGTGCCAGTTGTCATGTGATAGGTTACTTGGCAGATGACAGAGTGAGGAATTGCCTCTAAGTACAGAGGAACCTGACTCAAAGATTGATACCCTGTTGCAACATTAACTGCTGTTATCTCTGATAAGCCTTTGTAGGACTCCAAGATAAAAGTTTATTTCTAGCAAAAGGCACACCTTGCTTTTGCTTGTTTCAGCTTCCACAGTTTGTCTTTGCTCTCAAGTCAGCCGTGATTGTTTGGAAATTCCTTGAGAAAGCTTGGTGCTGAAATGGATTTCTTGGTATGTGCTCTCTTAAGCTTGGCAGAAGACACTTTTGGGCATGTAAGTGGTGGGAATTACAACAGCCATTTGAACAATCCCTTGCATTATCTTGATTCTATATTACATACTTTTAAATGTACCTTATGTTTTGGTAAATCAGGATTCCACAGTTTTTGGGCATCTGACTTCAAGATGGACTGGTGTCCCTTTCAGTTTCAGTATAACAGTTTCTAAACCTCCTCTGTCCCTTGACAGCACCACTGACTATCAGTACTACTTTTTCTACTGTTAATTTCAAATGTGAGAGTCTTAGGTGCACCCTGGCATTAAGAGTACAGAGTTTAATTGGGCTTCAGCTCTGCAGTGGGTACTTGTTCCTTTCCCAGTGTTCAGCCTTGAGCACAGTAGTTCACAGTTAATACGTTTGGTTTTCTTGTATTAAACTTCTGATAGCATCTGTTTTCTTAACAAGAATTCACTCTGTATGATATGGGAACACCTGTATTCTTACTTTCCTTGGCAGGGTTAAGATCTACTCTGTAGGACTGGAGAGTGGCTTTACTCAGGCAGTTAGTTTATTTCCAATATCTTCTCCTCTGGGGAAGCTTTCTCTTTAAATTGTCACACAGTGCTCCTTTCTTCAAAACATTGTTTGGGGCTGGCAGCTGCCTTGAAGAATGTGTGTTAGTTGTGTGGTGTGATACAGCAGCACTACCCAGAGCCAGTGCAAAATGGACTTGTGTGAATGCTGAAAAGGGTCTGGCCAGGGGAGTTCAGCTCTCCCAGTGCACTCATGCAATCACTTGCTGTAGAGCTATCCCAGGACTTCCTTCCTTTAGATAGGAAGCCATAAAGAAGTTTCACGTGACTAAACTTGAGAGAGTTGTGCAATTCTCTGGTCAAATGGCAAGTGTATGGCTGTTAGATTGCTTTTCCTTTCTAATGCTTTTGTGCTTGTGTAATTTGGTTTATAAGGACAGGAATTATTCATCTGCAAACTGAAATGGAAAAACAAAATGTTTGCTGACTTAATTGAAGTCAACAATATCAAAACCATAATCTGAGGTGACATGAATTTGTCTCTTGGTTGGCAAGGATGCATATTCTGGGCAGAATCAGGAACTTGGTGTAATCAGGTGCTGCACCTGCTCAAGTGCAGCAAGTTCTCTTATCTCTGAATTAAGCTCTGTTCTCCCTTTCCCCACCACTGTGTGGGTATTCAAGTGAATCCAGCCTTGTCTTTTCCTGCCAGCTTTCCAGGCAGCCAGCATTCAGTCTCGTGTGTCTGTTGGTGAAAGGTAAGTATAACTCATCATTTCATGGAGACCACCTTGCCTCTTGCAAAGTGTTTTGTATGTCAAGCCTGTCACGGGATTTTCCTGCTCTCAGTTGTTTCTGTCTTTCTGTATTATCCCAAGGTGGCACAGGTTATCCTAAGGAAGTGATCTTGACTTGCTCCTCTGATAAAGGACTTGGACCTGGTGTCCCTCTGGGAGTGGTGCATACATTGGAAGACAGAGCATTGTAGGAGAGTGTAACTCTTTGGGGGTTTTTCCATTCTATTCTCTGGCATAGATTTAGGAGTTAAAAGTGGTGACTGAAATTACCACTGTTCACAGAATGGCACTGAGATGACAGGATCATTCTGAACCACCAGAATGAGAAAATTACCCGGCAGTTCGGTTAACATGCACAATAGAAAATAAACCTTCTTTAGATAATGACCAACATTTCTTATCTCCTTGGATTAATGTCCCACAGATAGCAGTGTTCACTGTGTTTGTCATCAGAACACCTGGGCAAAGGTGCAAGGCAACACATCAGTGCTGCAGCTCAGGTATGGGATGATTATTCAGGGCTGGCATCCCTTACCCCAGAGTGCTGCTGTGCAGCATTTCCAGGTGGGCTGGAGCTGAGGAGAGTCTGGGGCTGTGACCAGGCTGTGTTTTACTCTGAGCCCCGTCACAGCACATCCCAGGAGCTGGCAGCTCACTGTGCTGCAGCCATGGTTTCCCTCCTGAACCCTGCAGGCAGGCCCATGCACCAGATACCTGTATGGCTTAAAGTGCTGA